ATTTTTATATATTGCATCCAGTTTACAGGCTGTCTGTCAAATGATGTCATTAAACCATTATTTTACCCCTAATAAGAGTATGGTACCAAGGGATGCTCTGTAACAGCAACATATAATTATTATAATCACCAGGTTACAGTGTCTAGTTTCCTGTTGATATGACTTGAAGAAAACTTCCCCTGACATTATGATTATGGCTATCTCATCATAGTCTATCCTTCCTGAAAATGCATCAGACAATGTAGATCTTTTTGTTTTTAGAAGAAAACTCCCTTTGGAAAAGCTGGAACTTTACTGGAATCTGAATTGTTTTAACACAAAAGGCTTGTCTTGAATCTTCCTACAAGACTGCTTATCTCATTGCAGAGCAAATGATGCCCATAGGATCAGACAGATTCTGGGAATCCATGAAGTGACAACTACTTTGAAGCAGTCATGGATAAATTGGCAGCTATCTAATATATATTTAGAAAAGAAACTATTGAATATTAACTGCAGCCTCTCCTGAGTAGGCAGCTGGATTCCAAAAGTAATCAATACTTCACTAAGAGAAAATGAGGTGCCACTTATTTTGAAAGAGGTGATAGTACATCTTCTCTTTAACAGGCCATTTCAGAATGCTTAGTCTGCTTCTTTTTTGAGGGAAAGCTTTGCAATGGATGGGAAGATAGTTACAAAAGGTCCTAGAAATAAATTTTCTGGATCATTTTCACTCAGACTGAGATGCACAGAAACAGGTTTGTGGATAACATACTGTATCCTGGTACCTAGAAAAGGAAGCATAGTTCTCTTAATCTTAATATAATCCTTGGTGTGTTTGATATCATTGATAAAGGTACATCTATGGCCCACCTGCAAAGATGGAGTTTTGGAAGTACTTCCACTCAACAAAGGGGAAAGGCAATTGAGACTCTGGGGTACCAGGATTCAGTCCTTTTCTCCATGTTATTCAATTTAAATGAAATTTCTAGGAGAGTAGATTTGCGGTGAGGTATCATTAATATGCTCATAAAACTGTGCATTGCCACCTAGGTTGTAGTAGGAATGCTGAGGATGCCTTGCATGAGTGTTGATTTAGTGTCTAAAAGTGTGAGAGGCTAGTTGGTGAATTTAGGCTCAGTTTATCTCCAACAGGACAGAGGTGCCATTCCAGAAACTTTGGTTCTAGTATTAGCAGCAGATGAGTTGCACTCTCCATGAAGTAGTACAGATAATTCTTGACTTACGACTACAATTGAGCCCAACATTTCTCTTGCTTACTAAAACATTTGTTAAGTGAATTTTGCCCCATTTTACAACCTTTCTTGCCACAGTTGTTAAGTATATTGCTGCAATTGTTAAGTTAGTAGCATGGTTGTTAAGTGCATCTGCCTTTCTCATTGACTTTGTTTGTAAAGAAGATTGCAAAAGGTGATCATATCATCCCAGGACACTGCAATGGTCATAAATGAGTCAGTTGCCATGCGTCCGAATTTTGATCACGTGACCATGGGGATGCTGTACTGGTTGTAAGTGTGAAGAATAGTCATAAGTCACTTTTTCTGTGCAGTTATAACTTTGAAGTCACAAAATGAACTGTTGTAAGTCAAGGACTACCTGTATATCTATATCATTTCAAAATAAACATAACGATTTGCATGATTGAATATCATTCCTTGTAAATCCTCTTCATCATAATCTCTGCATTAGACTTCAGCTATATCAGAGGAAAAATTGAATTTATTCACACAAAAAAGCAAAGATTTTTAGAGCTAGGTAACAGTTAGCTATATGATTGTTCAAATGTAAAGATCAGTCTGTATTGTAATGGTTCCTTGTCATGAAAATAAAATTTGCAGTGAAAAAAAACCTGCAGTATTAAGATGGAAGGTCATTTTTAATGTAACATTATGTTTGTTGATCCCTGGGGAGGCTTTACTCTGCAGTTCTATTATGGCATTGATAACAAAATAGAAAGGTTGTTAAAAATAAATGAAGAATTACTATGAATTTGTAACAAAAGCTGTTCTGGGTAGGGGCTATACTTTTGTTGTTTTTGTTTTAAAAAGCAAAATGGACTTTTTTCTTTCACAATAGGTTATAAATAATAGATTACAAGTTATTAAAAACTAATTAGGAATTATTGCTTGAGTTTTAAAATCCAGTTGACATGAAATAAATTTATTACTAAGTAGACTAATATAACAGAAATGACAATGTACATTGTGGGCAAATTTAAAGCATTCTTCAAGTGTTCTAAGCTCAAAATGTTTTTAAAAATGTTTCAAGTGACTTAGATCAGCAGTCCCCAACTTTTGTGGCTTGGAGTCTCAGCTGGGGGGGGAGGGGAACCACGTTATTTGAGTAGCAGGCCAGCATGTGCACACATGCCAACCCACCTCTGTGCAAGTTGAGCTGCACATGTATGTGTGCGCTCCGGCCCACCACTTGCGTGGCCCAGTTCTTACAGAACAAAATTGATTATGGGCACCATATGTACAATGTAAATTCAAAGGGTTTGTCAATCAATCATTTACAGAAAAATAAATAGGGATGAAATCCATGCTTCATGCCACATATTACCTACTTAACTTGTAGAAAAATTGGCCAATAATGTTTTTATTTTATTTTGCTTTAAAATCATCATAGCAAAAAACTGAAATAACAATAAAGCAGTTTTGCAATCAGTATGTGCCATCAAACAACCTCAGAGCTTTGAGCAAAGAATCAAAATAGCAGGAAATAAATGTATTTAACACAAACTGGAACAAAGTAGATGTAGTCCTCAACTTACAAGAGTTCATTTACTGACAATTTGAAGTTACAACAGCACTAAAAAAAGTGATTTACAACCATTTTTCACATTTATGAAGATTACAACATTCCTGTGGTCATGTGATCAAAATCCAGATGCTTGTCAACTGACTCACATTTATGATGTTTGCAATGTCCTGGGGCCATGTGATCCCCTTTTATACCCTTCTGAGAAGCAAAGTTAATGGGGAAGCCAGATTCACTTAACAACTGTGTTGCTAACTTAACAACTACAGTGATTCACTTAACAACTGTGACAAGGAAAATCGTAATGGGGCAAAACTCACTTAACAAATGTCTCATTTAGCAACAGAAATTTTGGGCTCAATTGTGGTCGTAAGTTGAGGACTACTTGTAATAAGCAGAAAAAGTACAGAAGTTTCTTTCTACTGCATATACACAATACGTGCTTTTGGATGTGGCAGTCTGCCTGTAAAGCTCAATAAATGATCAAATGAATATACAGGGTTGGCACTTAATAACTTGCAACCTCAACAGCAAAGTTATCATTTTAACATACAAAGTTATCATTTTAACATACAAAGTTATCATTTTTAACATACAAAATGTATATTTTTAGATTGAGAACCGATAAAAAGAAAGTAACAGCCTGTGATTTTAAAAATTACCTATGGTACAATAAATACAGTATATTTCTCTTTTTTCTTCTTTTTCTTCTTCTTTTCCAATCATATAATGCTAATGATCCAAGCTTCAGTTGAGCCACTGATGAAAAAGTGTGTTCTATTCTAAAAATATCCAAAGAAATAAGAAAGAACTACCTGTTTCTAGAGGCCTCTTAGCCAAACACTTCCTTTTGTTTTTTATTTGGTCCTCCAAACTGGCACCTGCCTTCCACTCCCAAGCACAAAGAATTGTGCCACCAGCTGAATGGAATCGGTGTATGGGCCTCATTTGTCATAGGAATGAACTTATATGTGCTAATGATGTACGGTCTCTTGAACAGTGCCAGTTTAGTCAAATGAGCCACTGATGTCATCCGATGCCAATAGAAAAAGTGAACTTTTCAATGTATCAGTGGCCAGCCTTCTAAATTCTAAATTCAGATTGATGAAGAAAAATTTAATTCTTTTGCTATCAGAATAACAATGATTTTTTCTGACACTTTTAAGTTGATAAAGCGTTGTTATAAATATGTGCATGCGCCTACTTAAATATAAAAATAATAGTCACCAGCAAGCAATTTCTTGCATACTATATTACAAATGATATAAACATTCAATGGGCTCCCTTAAAGAATCCAGTACTCCATATTGTTTTTTCTACTTCTCAGTCTAGCTTAAGACTTTGACTTTCCATAATATTTCACACAGTGGAAAAGTCAATATTGGTTGGATGTTCCACAGTTATTTTGTCATCTACATAGCTTTAGATCAAGCCAATTCATTATGTTTCCAATAGGATTTTGATACAGGTAGTCCTTGACTTACAACAGTTCATTTAGTGACTGTTACAACAGCACTGAAAAAAGTGACTTCTGACTGTTTTTCACACAATCAATGCAGCATGCCCATGGTCATTTGATCAAAATTCAGACATTTGGCATCTGACTCATATTTATGATGGTTATGACAATGTCCCAGGACCATGTGATCACCTTTTGCAACTTTCTGAAAGCAAAATCAATCAGGAAGCCAGATTCACTTAATAACTCTGTTACTAATTTAACAATTGCAGTGATTCATTTAACAACAGTGGCAAGAAAGGTTGTAAAATGGGGCAAAATTCACTTAACTATCTCACTTAGCAACAGAAATTTTGGGCTCAATTGCGATTGTAAGTCAAGGACTACCTATAAATGGCTGATCATTGAGATAGGTAATTTAGTCATTTTTTTGAAAGACCAGGAAGTTCCTCAGCAAGACTTTTGAGGGGACTGAGCAAATATTTTTACAGAGTGGTAGCCATTACTTCATAGAATGCTGTACCTCATTAAGAATTAATGCCAAGGTTTATCTGTCCGGGAAAAATTGCATGTTATCTGATTTTTCATCAGTATCATTGACTACATGTTCACGTACCTTTTTACATAATAATTTGTAGCCTTCATTAATATAAAATGGTAATTTTTTTGGCAATTAATTACTTTATTGACCACATGATACCTGGTAGCTAAAGTGCTGTTTTGGCACTCAAAGAGATACGAGTATTTTATCAATGGTCTAGAAATTGATATGGTTAATAAATCATGATAAATTTGATGATTCTCTCCATGTATCCAAACTGTTTGTTGGACTTATGTTATTAGTGAAAGAAGTCTGTCTCCTGCTAATGCTCCCAGTATCTTCTTTATTCAATCTTTGTTTAATGTTTCGACAACACAAGAAACTCTGCATGAAATCTTGAAGGAGGTGCCCACTGAAAAACATGTAGATCCATGGATTGCAGCAACTGTTCAAGCAGGCCAAAAGGGCGGTCACTGTAACTGCAACATCCTCTGAATCTATTGAGAAAAAGTAGAGCACTGTTAAGCAAAAATCTACAATTTAGTATGCTAATATTTCTTTAATAGCAAGTCTAAGAAAAATCTGCATTAAGTTTTGTAAGATTATAATTCTGCATTACATTTTCAAAGGTAAACAGGTATTTGTACTTTATTCAACATATTCTTTCAGTAGAATTGCCCTAATAACTTCAATATGTCCATCTTAGGCTTCTGGCTGCAATTTGTGGTATTAAGCTGGGATACTAGACGAATTGCCTCTCTGAAGCTACTTGTCCCATCAGTTCTGGCAGGAAGGGCACATTCTGGGCCCTGCTGAATCAAGAAAGTCATTTTGAAGGACCAGGGATGGCTTCTTTGTTACAGCATTTGGCCTTTGGGTCATCATTCCACCCAAGATCAGATTGAAGCCATCCCTGCTAGCCCTCACTATTCTCCTCCCAGGAATAGGGTTCTTCCTCTGTTGCCTGCCCAGAGTTGCTTTGTTAGATGAGTGGCCATATAAATTCAATAAACAAAACAAATAAATAAAATTACTAAGCTACTGGACCATATTGAATGTATTGTCCATCACAACAGATTTACACACATATTGTTTTTGTCTTACCTATGTCTTGTTCCTTTCACTATACTTTTATTTTAGTTATGGTTAGGAGCAGGTTACTTTGATTTACAATTATAACTCTCTTGATAAAAAGTTCAGGACTCTGTCATTTATTTTATCTCTTTGTGGCTTGTTCATATAGTACATAATAATAATAATAATAATAATAATAATAATAATAATAATAATAATAATAATAATAATAATAATAATAATAATAATAATAAAGTTGGAAGGGACCCCCTCATCCTTCTGTTCGTTAAACTAGACATACCCAATTCCAGCAACCGTTCCTTATATGTTTTAGCCTCCAGTCCCCTAATCATCTTTGTTGCTCTTCTCTGTACTCTTTCTAGAGTCTCAGCATCTTTTTTACATCGTGGTGACCAAAACTGGATGCAGTATTCCAAGTGTGGCCTTACTAAGGCATTGTAAAGT